TGCGACTATGCTCTTTAATACACGTGACTCGGTTGCTGATATTTCATTCTTTTGATAGATTCTAACTCCGTTTATTTAATATGCCTCAAGTGGAAGCGCACGCAAGACTATAATAAATGTTATTTTATTCCTTGTATAATAAAATAAATTTATGTTTATTCCTAAAGTCATTTTACATGGAAAAATTTTGATGAAGTTCCGTGATTAATCGAACGCCCCGTAGAAATTGAGAAGGAAGCTTTTCGCTACATTTACTTGATGACGTACTAAATAACTGTTCAGAGAGATTGGACTGTCACGTGAGTTAATTGCTCTATAAATCCTTGCTAGGAGCCTCGCTAGAAATCTCGTACTAATAATTATGTGAGCAGAGCTAGGCGAAGATCGGAGCTGCTAAAGCTCAAGAAATCTCTTTGAAAGAATTATTTATTGTAACAGTCGACTGTTTGATGAACAAACGTGAAGGATAGAATGGAATAGAACAAAAAGGGAAGAGCGAACAGAGTGTGATAAGTCGGAAAGTAAACCATTCGTTGCACCCGCCTTATGTCTGACCAACGACATATTCTACTTATACTTCCGCGCGTCTGTCTCAAATATTGTTCAACCTTTACGAAAACAGAAGTTTCAAGGTAACTCGTGAGTTTTACCTGACGTGTAATTATAAACTCGACACTTGGCTCGACTGAAGAACGAGATGATTTGTCGCGATACGCGCGAACGCAATACATTACAAGAGTCGAAAGTTTCCCTTGAAGGAAGCCTCGACGAAACGAAGCAATCTTCGTGCCTCCAATCGACCAATCTCGATGACGTAATTGTCTTTTCAGCGAGCTTAGGCGAGCGAAGGGTAAACTTCCCGGAGAAAGGCCTGCAAGCCCGAAGTCCTTCACCGATAAACGATCGTTCGGAAGCGAAGTTCGCTTTGCGGCTTGAAATTAAACGAGCTCGCCGCCGAGGAGCGGCGATAGTTTCGAACCAGGTGGCAAGAGGCACCGGAGAGGAAACGGAGGAGGAAAAAAAGCTATAAAAGGAGAGAACCGAAGAAGAAAAAATAGAAGAGGCTGGCTGGTCTCGACCAATCCCGCGACGCGTTAATTCTTAATTTCTTAATTTCAAGTCGACCATTAAGCACCGCGTCAAAGAGGCCTTGGCTATGCGGAGTCGCCTCCCGATCTCGTCGTCTTCCTAAATCTCTTCCTTCCGGCACCCCCCAAACCGCGGCTTTCGAACGAAGAATCTCGGAAGTTAAAAGCGAGAGCAATTAAGCCGTGCCTCTTCGGAGATATCCACTCATTTTGCAAGTTACGTCGTCAAATACGTCCATCTAAGCTTTAAATCGCGCAGCTTCTGACGCGGCGGATTCTTAAAAAATTACGATGGGCGAGATTTTCATCGACGACGTAAAACGCACAGGCTAATTACTATAATCTATTATCGACACGAATTTTAATGTCGCATTATTAAAATCTAGTTAGGGGAAAATCATGAAACGTATTGCGAGAGAAAAAAAGGATTTGCTGAGTTTTGCTTTCGAATCGGATCGAATGAATTCCCATTTAAACGCGGGAAACGCATCACGCTCGATATAAGACGGCACTAATCCGTGAAAAACGTGCTTGTTCCTTTTGCCGATCGACAGGATGGATTTATGAGGGCAAATCCCTGATAAGGTTTACGTCCACAGTCGTATCCGTGTTTGCCATCGAGCCACGGTTCGATACATCAGCTTCGCTCGCGTGAAGGAGCTCCGTGGAACAAATAAATATAATGCAGTTACTGGAAATATCATCAGCTCACTCGAACGATTCAGAGTTTCACCATTCCGAAGATAAGGATTTATTTCCACTGCTCTTTTTCCTCACCCGGTTTTACCCTTTCTTTTTACATCTCGACCGTTTTATCGAACAAGGTTAAAGCATAAAAGGCACGATACGACCAGGATAGGACTCTCGATTCACCGTCTGATACGATGTAAAAAAAAATACCGAGAATTAGTTGTTGCGAAAAAAAGCATGAGCTTCGATTAAATTGCATCATTAATTCCATTTGCGAACGGTTTTCTACTGTGAACGGTTTCAACCGTCTGACATAAAGCTCGATAGCAGAAATTTATTCCTTGAAATTCTCTCACGAAGAGTTAACTCGATCGAGAAAAAGAATGACACGCTATCGATTCGTTCACGAGATTTCCAGGTATCAGTAAAGAAACTGAATGTAACGAATTTACCGGCAATACCATTAGCTTTATCAGTCGACTTATGCCGCGGTTATCTCATCGCGTGGAGATCTCTCTCCCGTTTCGCCCTTAACATCGGATATCAAGGCTCGGCCAGAGCTCAACTGACCTGAAACGGGCAAATGAAATAAGGATACGACCGGATTCGGTTCGGCAATTCGTGTGTTTGCGACCCGAGCATTGACGTGCCTGCTGTAGCTGTTTGTACACACGTACACGATCGACGTTGCGCATTTGCTACTACGTGCAGCTGTACACCGTCGCACTAACGACGCAACAAAAGAACTAGCACTAGCAAGTAATGGTCAATTTTCGCTCCTTACAATTATCCTCGTTACAGTCAATTTATTTGCTTCCTGCATCTTCTACGATATACTTCTGTACTGTTAAATTGATAAGAAGAAGTGTTATGATAACAAGGTACGAATCCCGATCAAATATTTTAGGCAAACTTGATTTATTCGTTTCACTGTACACGCTCTCAACGTCGTCCGTTTGCGATGCCATAATCGAACCGACTAACACACGCCAGCCCCATGTACTTTTGTGCGCATCTGAACGCGATCGTATCTCCGTATGTGGGTCAGACACACAAGGGAAGCGAGCTCGAACCGCTCCGAGCAGGAAACTCTGCATTCGGAACCGGACGAGACTTTCAACGAACGGGGAACGAAAGAGAGAAGGGTTGGAAAAAGGGTGAGGCCACAGGCAGCGTGCAGCGACGGCTGGGTCGAGTCAAGAGGCTGGAGATAGTGCTCTGATATCTCAAATCCATTTCTGGCTCGTGCCACGAGTCGTGGACAACCGTCGACCTCGACGACTTTCCCTACTTTTCACCCACTAGCTTCGAACCTCGTCTCGCACGCGAACGCGACGCGACGAGACTTTGGCAAAAATGAAATTTTCATTCTCAAGTATAATTATTCTGCGAAATGCATTAAACATCCGGTCGAAACTCGTTCGAAAGCGCGAATAGTAATTGTATAAAAGATATTACTGGGTTTAACATCATGTAAGATTTAAACGCGAACTGTGATGACTAAATTATTATGAAACGCGGTAGAAATTACAGGACGCTCGTAACTTTTAGACTATTTCCGATGTGAAATTCTTAATAACGTTTTAAAGTCTTACTTTATTAACGGAAAAGAAAGGCTGGATTTCTTTAGACAATCACGGTATATTACGTACTTTAGTGGTTCCCGTGCTTTATTCTTGTTGAAATAACCCATTCAATTTTTACGACGGTCTACATTGTTTCAACTGTACACGGGTTTCTTTTATTAATCTTGTTACCGCTATGATGTATATTTTGTCTTTCAAATTGTAGTGCAGTCTCTTTATATTAAAAAATATCGAGGAAATCTACAGACATTGTCTTTTATCCCTTACGAAGAAACTTTTTTATTTCGATTCTTTAAACAAGAGCTATTGTCGAAATACATAATTCTTTGTAAATCTAATTATAGTTTTAATGTGTACTTTAAACCAGAGACTAAAGTAAGAATTTCACTGCCAGGCTATTGTTCTTTTAAAATATTAAACCGACTGTACTTCCCGCAATTTTACTTGGCGAAATAAGGAGAGAAGAGAATTGTCATTGACAATTGGCAAACTGTTAATTCTATTTACACTATCAGGAGAACCTGAAACGAGGCGAGTAGCGTCAGTTCCATAAATCAAGCTGAAGCACCATTATCTGTCTCGTACACCGTGGCCGGTGAATCGCGATGGCTATTACGAGGGGGCGATAGAAGCCCCGGAGAAGTTCGCACAATAACGCGTAATGGTCGGCGCAGTCTCGGCAAAGGTCGATAAAGGCTAATTAACAGAAATCCTCGTCTCAGGTGGCCCATCTACGACCGATTCCTAATCACTTAAAACCGGAGAACCGTCTCGAGAGCGAACGCCAGAATACGACCACGACAGACGTCGGGGCCTTAACGCGACGAGCCTGATATTATGTACCCGGCTATCACAGTTTAGCTGCCAAAATTCTGATTACCTCTCGACTAGCTTATACACCCGTGGAGATTTCAGTGGATATTGAGATTGCTCATTTACTATCACCTTGTTCAGAATTTCGCGAGCATTGTGACGGATAACGAGTCAGGATTGTAGTTTGATCGCGTGAATCACGGTGGTACTCATTTCGTATATAGACTGTCTATTAGGAAAAGGAGACGTTCAACGTGACAAAAAATGCATGAAACGTTATTGAGCCAGATAATTCAAAAACAAAACGGTATTGAAACTGGGAATATCAATTTGAGGCCAAACGACATGGAAGTGCACGTTAAATTCAAATGAACAACCACTAAAATCGCGTTAGAATGGCCGAAACGATAAACGTCCGGAGGTAGAAAGCTTTTGGACCGATGTCGCTGTCAAATTTTGCGTTTCGCAGGACAGCAAACGGGAAATAAGCAAAACGCTGAACAGTATCGACCACGTATCGCGCGGGTTGGCAGGCTCGACGAAAATAATGATTCCTACGGTGCCGCGACAATGATCACCGGCTGGCTGTCCGCCTGGGTACACCGTGACGAGAAAATCGTCCGGGCACAACGAGCACGATGATTCCGGTTCGACCGCTCAGCTCCGAGCCGTCCGCTCTGACACGCGACAAACTGTCAGTGATATACGGCCGGCCGAACGTCGAATGTTTGTCACCGCGAGCTTCACGGCTGCGTGACTCGCGATTTACGCTTAACCGTCATTAATCAGGGTTCTTTATCGTATGCGTATTGCGTGTACTCACCGGGCCGAACTGTTCGAAGTAGTTTTTCACGTCCTCCAGTGTCGTCGGTGCCGAAAGTCCACCGACGAATATCTTCTTTGTCCTTGTCACCATCTGTAAACAAGGGAGAAGTTATGTAAGTCATTAAAATGCGATACAGCGAATATTCCTTCCGCGATACATCAGCTGATTTTTGAATCTGTACGCCGTTTAGATAATGTATTACTGATTTGTTTACTCAGGGAAAAAGTATTACACCAAGTATGAAAATAATGTGAAAACCCGCGTAAAATATGTTGTACAACGAATATGCATCGAGTCAAGCTCCATGGATTGTATTTGTAACAGTTTAATCTCGTACAACCTTACGTCCACTTGTTTTCATAAAATAGACATTGCTTTTCATATTATGTATTCATATACATATATACGTATGTACTTCTCTTTCTGATATACCAAAATGAATAGTGAAGCACCTTGAACAAGTGCGAGCTAACCTCAAATTAGGAATGCTGACGCTAACTTAATTATACATGTTCTCATTAATAAAAAGAAAGAATTATAGTCTGAGCGATATAGAGATCTAAAATTCGTTTACCTAACGTCGAGTTTCGTATATTGTGTCACACAATACATGCTTTCACAACTTAAAACAAAACCATTCATCACTGCTGCCGAACCACTCACTACTAACCAGTGCCGATCACAGAGCACAGCTGACTGAGAGAGCGCGCGGCGCATAAACACAGGCGCGCGGTTTGTCTTGGTTTGAAGTCTCGCGAGGCTATGAAACTAACACGTACCTGTTTCGATAACACGACTCAATGTTCGTCTTTGACCTCGTGTTACGTAACGTCGAACGAATATTGTATCAGCTGCACACGGGAACGTAAGTTGAAATTGGTCCGGAATTCTGAATATGTATAATGCAACTCGTAGGTGGAATATTATAACAGAGCACGAATACATTTTCTGTTTTTTACGTGTTACACGGAATTCGAAATGCATTTGGTGAAATTTTCTATTGTCGTAGAAAAAGAGAACAATGGAATCAAATTACCCATCGCGCGTTCGGGCATTTCGTTTGGAAAGTTTCCCTGCACCGTGAAATCCGAATTCCTGTTCCACGTACATATATACATACATACATACATACGTACGTACGTAGATGCATATGGACAGTGCAGGGGTTTTATAAACAGCTATTGATCGACACCCATATATTTGCATCAACGTGGCCGCACACGCGGAGGGCCATCGCCAAATCGTCCCGCGTTCATATTTGGCATGAAAAATGGAGCGTACCAGGAAGCAGAAACGATATTTATTTCCTTCGCGAAAACGCATCGAAACTCGTTATCATATTTTCAATAAATTTGGTTAACCGACGAGAGCCGATGAAAATAAATTTTCGTTTAGAAGAACAAGCGTTAAAGCAGCCGTGCGAAATGACGAATATCTGCTGCTACGTCGTACCTCCGCACGTAACGCCGAATATCAATTGCAAAGGAAACAACTTTTCCCGTAGGAAAATAAAATAACACAAAATATATTTCAATGTTTGCTCGCAGTAACGTTTAAATATTCTATTTGAGCTTCGGGCGAGGTATATAATATCCTGTTCCCAAAAAAGGGTCCGAACGAAAAATTGCACGGCTTTGGAATTTTTTAGATGACTGCTCCTGCGTAACGATTTATTTTTTGCGGATGCATTAAAATTTATATTTAATCGCTATCATAATCGTTAAAAAATTTAAGATTTCCCAGCTTACTGAAACCGTTTCATCATCCATTCCGGAACATATTTACTCTGGACATACATACATATTTATATTTGCAGTTTAGAGAATGCTTAAAGAGTGCAGAATCTCGTTAGATCTGGACAAATCAAATCGGAGAACATCGGTCTAGCTGCAATTCATTAATGAACGTACGATGTTTGGAAATAATTATTTGTTAAATCGAGGAAAACGTGCATGTATTGAGCAATTATAATTTTGCGTTGTGCATAGCATCTAAAAGGAGTGCACGGGAGAGAAGAATGAGTTAGATAATCGGAACGAAGCTATTGTCTTTCGCTGCAACAATTTTCGTTGTCCTAACTATAGTGCGTGCATTTTAACGGTCAAGATAGAGGGGCCCGAAGTGAGTCGGATTGCGGCTCGAATGGCTCTGAATACCGGCCCTAGAAACCGTTCCGTCGGAATCACAGCGGAAGAAACATCGTATCGCGGCGAAACTAATTACCAGTGGCTGTTTTAACGGCAACGTCGGGGATAATCGCGGCGGAAAAAAGAAGAAGAAAAGGAACGCATTCAGAAAGAGAGCATCTTAATAACACGATCGCGATGTAATAAAGCTCCGCCGTCGGAAGAAAATTTCAGAGCGGAGTAGAAGCCACTGGCTGGAACCAGTGCCGCGTGGAAAAGAGAACGACGAAACGCGGTAAGGTAGCAACCGTGGCGGGGGGTACCGATGGCAGAGCGGGTACTGAATACAGCGGAAATGGTAGAAGAGGTAAACTCTGGTAATTTCAGTGATGGCTGGGCTTAGACCTCTCTATATCCGGTGAGTAACGCAAACCCCTTGGCGCAAGTCCTTCCACCTCGTGGTCCCTGAAACTCGACCCACTCTTTTCCTCTTACTTGCCTCTCTTTCTAATCCCACCCTACCGCTCGAGCTCATCCCCGTGTCCCTCTCTCATCTCATGGGAGGCAGTGGATGGCTCGCGAACCTCAGCCGCCCCCGGAGCTCCGGCTAATCAGCGAAGTGTATAAAGTCCCGGGAATGAAAATAAAACGGGCTCCGGATCTCGAAAATTAAATAAATGACTCGGCTCGATTCCGTCTGCGAGAACGTGGCTCGTTTGAAAGAACCTCGAGAATGACAGACGAGGAGGAACAGAGAGAAAGGCTGGCCGAGAAAATCGGCCGGAGGGTCTCGCGCGGTGGGGCGGACGGACGAAGACAGTGTGAGGAAGAAGGGATAGGGGGAAATGAGCAGAGAGATAGACGTGGATAAATAACGAGAACGAAAGAACGGTCAGAGGATACACGAGGTAAAGGGGAACCACTTATTCGAATGAAGTTGCAGCGGCATGTAGCTCGCTCGCTGCAGCCAGTCCGGAAGTGCCAAAAGAGGGAATTGAAGTTCCCTGATATCCAGGCGCTGCTGGACGGGTTTCGGCCTAAGAGCCGCGCCCTGGCTGAGCTGCTGAAATTTTATTACGCTCCGCTACGCTCGGTCTCGTTTTGGTAATGAGCGCATTGTCGTGCAAACGAGACACTTCAACCAGGCACCGAGCGTCAGTACCTAACCGAGACACGGCGATCGTCTCTTCTTCTTTCACCGCCGCGAACTCTTTTCACCCGTTACGCGGATAAGAAGTCGGATTGGCTTCACGCGAACACCATGGGATTCGCTTTGTAATTGCTTCGTCAAAGTTCCGCGAAATTCCGCCAACCCCGTCCCTCCTGAATTCAAAATGAGCGTGAAGTTCCATGGCACTTGGATAATGAAAGAGCCACAACGAGTTTGACAAAAACCGAAACCTGGCACAATCGTTCAATGAAAAATGAAGTGGCAAAATGTAATTATCCAGGTTAAAAAAGTGAACACCAAGTAGGAGTCGTTAGCGGAGGTAAGCGCAGATAACCGGCGAAATGGTAATGGAAACTCGGAGAGTTCCACTTATTATGCCATAGCATTATGTAAATATACAGGAAGACTATTACAATTTTACAACTTAGTAGCGGCCGGCTTTATAGTTTCATCGCTGCGAGGGCCATCTCATTCGCGTTCTTCCTTTCCAACTCTCTCGCGGTCGTACGATCCAAAACCAGAAAATCCGTAACGCGATACAAATAAAACAATCTGTCGTTGTTTTATTTAAAAATCCTATCCATCTCGACTCCGACACGACGTTATTAATCGTAGAACAGTTCTCTTGTACATGGTATATAAGAAGAAATATAGATCGTTCGAATATAAATTACGAAGTTTGATAAAAGGAATTTAAAAGTTGTAGATAACAAAAGGTACGTGGAGCGCATTAGCAAGAATGAAATATTTCCAAGATTGTTGTCAGCGTGCACGCCATAGTTCTTAATGTCAACTAGTGTACACGCATTCAATAAATTTCAGTGAAAGGCAATTTCCTTCTGGCAGTCGATTAATCTATCCCTTTACCGGGTATACTTCTTCCGCCAGACCAATGTGTGGTCATTTTTTATCATCAGTTCTTGAAACTTTGCAGAGATAAAACCCAGGAACTTCATCCCGGCGAGATAGCCGATCCATCATGTGGTTTCAAATTTTCAACCATCGCGGAAAATCGTGAACGCTGCCAAAGATTTCAGCCTTCCGAGAACCTCATCAATGAAATATTTCCTATTATCCTTCCATTTAATTCCAGGTGTATGTAACATAGCCAATCATTCAAACCATTCGAGAATACACTAATAATCATAATTTTATTTGAGTACTGATAATCTTTTTAAAAATCCCGAGGCTGATCCTTTCTCCAAACCGTAATCGCATCAAGTGATAAATCATACCGTATCGGTTTTACACGGTACGAACACATCCCTATTAATCTCATAATCGTCCTCGGCACGGGAGAAAAAGGGGAACGACATGGGCGGAAACAGCGCAAGGTGTTCGAACAAGGGAAACGGTTAAAATAAATATTGGAGTAAAAGTCGGTGAGTGGGCGGCGCCGGTTTTAACGGTCCCAAACCGTTAAATCTGCCTAGCGAGCGGCGGATATTGTCGCGTGGAATGGCAAGGAGAACGCTTTGCTCGTTCGCAATTATTGTGAAAGTTTAATCGGCCGCTATACGCCGCGCTGATGAGACTGCGAGGGAGCACGTGATACCAATGCACGTATATACCTGGCGTCCGGTATATGCATGTAGATCGCAAAAACTTTCAGAGCCACCGGTATCGTTCAGAGAATGTTTCGCAATTTTTGTCCCTCTATCTCCGCAATACGGATGAAGGGAGACATACAGAGAAACGTTTTAAACGGCATGATGCATTAACCAGAGAACGTATAAAATGCTGCCTAGTTCCTATTTATTTTCTGATTCGTATGCTTCTTAAGCACGATGACC